TTAATCATGTAACAATTCATTTTACTATATTAATAAAGATCGTGAGAAATGCCTCACTTAACATTAAAAAAAAAAAGTTTTATTAATATTTAATTAATAATTTATTTTAAAATATCAATTTAAAGTTGAAAAAAAATTTTTTTTAAACAATTAACAAATTATATATATATATTTATATATAAATTCTGTTTGGAAAATAAATTTTTACTATAGTAAATTTTTTTTAAAAAAATTTTCAACTTATAAAAAAATTATTAAATACTTCTTATTATATTTGAATAATAATTAATCTTAAAAAAATTTTAAATTCTTTAAAAATTTGATTTTAATATAAAACTTAAAAAATCCATATAATTTTAATTTATACATTATTTAAGCATACTTATATTCTATCTATAGTATAAATTTCATCATAATATGATTTATCCTACTTAAAATTTTAGCATTTAAAGATCGCCGATCAAGTGTTGTGTTCTTTTTGGGAGACGGTGATTGGTTTCACCTTTGATAGACGTGGATAATTCTTGCAATAAACCCTGCAATTTATCCTGCTCACGATCGATTTTTGGGGATGATTGTCTGGATGAACGGGTTTTTGTGACATCATTCGTCTGACCCTCAGAATTAGCGGACTTTAGCCCCTTCGTTATATTCACCTCATGCCTCAAAGATGCGCCCCTAAAGGGCCTGGTATTACTCTCATTATTTCGTTAGCTTGGTTTCCTGAATTCTCTGGTGTGTTACTAATATCTTCTATCACAATGGGGCTTGTGGCACGATTACAGGTAGAATTATCGGGAATGGGACTGGTTGCTTGATCTTTTGTTAAAGCCTTTTCCGTTTGCTTCCCTTGATCCGCAAGAGAAGTCTCATATACTAATCCTAGTGTACTCAAAACTTCTAATTCATCTTCATCTTTGATAGTGATATCACTTCGCCGGGATGCTTTTTTCCCGAGATCTTGATGAGCCTCTGCCCCTTTGATTCTCTCGACTACTATATCATACCAGTAGCGAGTGCAAGTTCCTCTCTAATAATTTCAATAAATGTGGGGCATATAGGACATGTACAGTATTTTTATTTTTCGATATATCACACAAATCAAGATTGCATGCAGACTAAAAAATACTTTATTAATAGTTACGTATTACAGCAACAATAAACTAACGTTTAAATTTGTTTTACATATCCACATTTCTAGTCGCTACTTTTTCATTCAAATGACAAATCGTACATTACAAAAAGATTTCGTCTGTATCTTCTTCTGTCACAAGTGAAATGTCATCACCTGGCAGATGTAACCACTCCCTTAAATTTTCAGAACAATTGCCAGCTGGAATAAAGGAACGAATTTTTCTTTGTAATTTTTCTTGTTCTACCAATTCTTTTCGAATAATTGCAATAAAATTAAAAATCTTCACGTGATGGCATCAAACGAAAATGGAATTATACAAGAGGCCAATTCAACAGCCAAATACTTTTTTTTGTCTGCTAGAGAAACAGCAAACAATGTAAGTCGATTCCCTATAACCTGGATGCTATAAGTTTTAACATTTTTGGCATCTTCAATGTTGCAATCAAGATTGTTGCCAAGGAGTCAACATAGACTGCAGATAGCCATAACTAATAGTTTTTTTGCATCGCCAACCGTATGCTTTTTTGTGGATCTATAAGGAGGCCCAGATACTTCATCATTCAACAGTTCTCTTGCATCTGATGACCTGAGAATGAGTAAATCTGTCTTTCGTTCTCCAATATTACTCATAAATATGTTGTTTGCTTCTTTGATTAATCTCACATCTTTTTCTATCCACATGTATTTTACATCAGGAAACGCATTGCGAAATGCGCGGAGAATTGGTGACAGACATTCAATGATGTAAGATCGTTCAAGCATATCACGATCCAAAACTTTTGGCATCAAATATTTAAACATCGAGACAAAGTCTAGTAACGCATATCGTATAAAGAATATAAACCTATCCTCTTCGGTTGTTTGATTATCTTCAATCTTTGTCTCCGAAATTATTTTAGATTCGATTTCAAAAATTTCAAAATATTCTAGTTGAAATATGTTTTCAAGCTTTTTGACTATTGAATCATTTATAACCAATTTGTTTCCCATATGGAGCATATTTTTAACTTCTTAATTCACTTGTTCTCCAATAGTTTCCTTGACAAGGTGTATCGTTGTATTAAAAGCACAAATTATGTGTGCAGAATATTCTTCATATGTTGCTTTCGTAATAATGGGTTTATTAGGTGTCACTTTTAAAGTGTGTGTAACTGAACGAGTTGTTGGGCATGGCGTGCTTTCACGAAAACTAGAGTTATCACGGACATGTGATCTTGCGTTTTTATTCTTATAGATTTCAAAAATATTATAAACAATATTAGAATTGGGCGATTAATGAGCATATAAAATAGTAAAAAATAATTTCAATAACTTACCTTATGTTCTTCTACGTAACCATCAGAATCTGCTGAGCTCGAGGATTCAGTATAGTTAACCTTCTTTTTTCTCCTGAGGACCATCCCGCTTGAAGGTTCTCCTTCCTGATTTTCTGGTGTTCGTGGCTCGTTCTGTCCATGTTTACGTTTCTACGGGCGAATTTCTGCCTCTAGGTGACTTGTAAACTTTTCTCGTATGATTTGATCTTGCTGTGAAGTCAATTTCACAACCGTAGTGGCGTGTTCCTCCTATGAAAAAACAGAAGTGCAGAAGTAGGATAAGACATTTGTTTTCAATGCTATATACTGTATATGACATACTCGACAAATCATCTCCATACCAATAATGTCGTGCGTTCTGATATAGTTCCCATCTTTCGTTTTTCAGATGACATAACACTCTCCCAGAACTCCGCAATTAACGGTAATTTCTTTTCCTTCTATTAGCAATATATTTAGTTAGTAAAAGTCAAAATAACCAAATATTAAGCCACTACAAGCTACAATTTGTGTAACTCCAATTGCAAGGACAGAACCACCGCGAGCCTCAACTCATGCACTTCCTGGCCGCAACCAAGAGTGTTGGGTGATTGAACGCAGGCCTCAACCCCATCCAAAGGCGATCATCCTTTAGACCCGTCCACTTACAACCGGATAGGAAAAATCATTCACACAAGACGGAACCACCACGAGCCTCGACTCATGCACTTCCTGGCCGCAACCAAAAGTGTTGGGTGATTGAACGCAGGCCTCAACCCCATCCAAAAGGTTATACACCCTTCAGACCCGTCCACTGCTAGATCAGAATGAGTTTTCAATTACATTTGGGTGTAATGGAGTATGAAAAATACTTAACTTGCATTGAGACAATTGTTCTGCCAGCCCGTCTCAATAAATGTACTGGTGTTTCTTTACAACTCATTATTTTTGTAAGGTTAAGGGAATATCGATGATGTTCTTCGCTTTATTGAGCAGAAAATCACTGCATTGTTGACGATAGAGTAAAAAACCCATCAAAGAACAGTCGTGTTCTGTTGTAAAATAGTCTGGATCTTTTATTGAGATTCTTAACGAGAAGAAATTTTTAATTACCAAGAAAGGCAGTAGAGGTAGAAGCTGAGGCTGGTGTCGACATGTTTGGCTAAATAATAAGCAAGAAATTTTACTGATTTTTTTTGGTTACACCAGAATCTCTGGACAATGATTGGTCAAGATCTTGAATCTTATATTCCTATCACAATTGCCAATTACTAGATTTTCACACCTTTTCTACACAAGATTTCCGAAATAAATTATTCCTCCCATATCTACAGAATTTTTGTCTATCTATATCACTCAAACTATGTAAAAGATTATTCCCCGCAAGAGAACTTTCTCGAGATTAAGAAATTTCGAACCAAGTATAAATTCGGGAGATTAGCAACTGAGATAAAAAAAAATAAGTAATATTTACGATTACACTTATCACTACGATTTATTTTTAGAACATTCCAGTCTGTCATTTTTAAGAAATAATTTTTTCTTTATCAGTACGATACTGCGCCAAGTATCAAGAATTCGGCACGTGAAGATGCCTATCATAAATTTTATTACGTTGATGATACGCGTGATGATATTTTCTCGGCGAAGATCAAAATGCCGATATATATTTTGGAACATCTATAGAGACGGGAAATCGATTAACATCGTGAAGATATGTTTCAAGAAGCCAACCCGAAACATAAACCAACCTACTTTATTATTACTTTGTGGATTATACTCGTTTGATCAAGGATATTAAAGATGTAAATATTGGTAAGTTTGATTAGATTTTAGTTTACTTGATTTTTGCGCAAGACAGATAAAAGGGTTCATTAACTGCCTCGCCTTCTTTTTATGATTTGTAATGGGTCTTCTAAGGTTCTATTTTTGGAATAACCCTTTTGAGGGAAATACGTTATTATGATTCATCACGAAGATCAGCGCTCCTTAATTTACAATAGAAAAACTTAACGCTATCCCGTATATAAAGATCATCATTTATTTCACGTAAAGGTGGATTATTAATAGCATCTATTTTTAAGTTTCGACGTTGCATTGCGTGATCGAAGACAATTATGCATCATTCACAGATTAAGAATGAATGGATCACTTAGGGGATTATCGCATTGACCCACGAATGATTATGAAGTTTAGCAGAGCTAGTACAAGGTGCTAAAAATAAGGTTGGTATTTTTATGAGCATTATGTCCGAAATTAGTGAAGTTCGTCATTAACAAAAAATATATTTAAAATTAAAATGCATTTTTAGTCACACTGTGGCAAAAATTAGGTTACACAAAGACGTGCTGAAATCATTAGTGGAGCTAGCAAGGCTATTATAAAATCTTGGATGGGGATCATCTTTAGCATGGATGCGCTAGCTTCCCAGCTATTTCATAAATGAGGTTTTATCCCATTAATATGTGCAGATTGAACAACGATCCAAAGGATCAAGTCTTCGACTCTCCGATTTTGTTAAGTTTTACTGGTATTTAAATCATAATAATATCCTTCATCATCGTCATCGGAAAAACCACAGAACCCCTCATTACCCTTAAATGCATTAGCAACATCCTCACTTTGTGAATCATTTTTATCATTATTATAGACATCTTCAAAAGCACGTTCATAACCGGGATCTCGATCATTATTTTCATCCAATAAAGATTTTTAGGTCCTATGGAGTGCTCTTCAAGCATCTCCTCATATATTTCAACCTCTAGTAAAGATTTAGATGTAATCTAATTTTTATTATACAAAAGCAAGAGATAAACATTTAGAATGGAAGCTGCTTGGTTACAAGTTAAAGAACCAAACTCAGAAAGATCCTTCCAAGCAGGGGTAGACAACTGGCCATCAGCACCTCAGGTAGAACTTGTCACAATCATTTTAACACTGTTGGTTATATCCCAAAAGAGTTAAATAAAAATTTGAACAAATTGCACAACCTGTATTAATACTTTACAAAAGCTCCTAAACCTTCATATCAGAGATACAAGAAAAAAAAGAAACAAAAAGCATAAGAATTGGCAATTGTAAATGAGATGTATAGATTTAATATACAAAAAACATGTCAGTATTTTCACCTTTAGCAGACTTCAAATATCATTGAAATGCTTTTAGCTTTACTTGTTTTATCAACATCAGAAGATTCATTGATAAATTTTATATTAGGCTTCTTGACGAAGTGATCTATAATCATTTGAATTTGAGTATTAAAAAATTTTGAAATTGTATTTGCACTATATGTTTTAATGTATTGAATCTTGTCCGTTTCTATTCTTTTAAATAAATTATTAATCCTTAAAGCTTTTTATATCTGCTTATATAAAGTTTTGCATTTGGTATCCTGTAGCTATTTGACATTAAAATTATATACTTGACCTTTTACTTTCTTTTCCTCAACTTTATTATTGACTATAAAATCTTTATATATGCCTTTGAATTTTCTAATATAGAAATACTAATATAATATTTTTTTTGATTAGCTTTGATAATATCTATTTCCACATTATATGCATTTTTATATAGACTAATAATATCTTCATTATCTGGCAATAACTAGAATATGGTTAGAATAGATAAGATTATTAAACTTTTATTTTTTGGGCAATCCAAATTCATTGAAATTTTAGTTGTGCTTTTTTTTTCTTGAATAAAATTATTTCTTAAATCAAACTCTGTTTTTTTTGCTTAAGTAATTCATATTGAAACTTTTTTTTCTATTTCTCTCTCTTATTATATTACCGATCCTTTTTTTTTTTAGTAAATCAAAGAAATTATCTACTTCTTTTTCTTTTAACAATTTAAGCTTTATGTATATAATTATAGTTGGAAATGAATTAGTGACTTTGAATTTTATATCTTTTTGATATTTATTAGGATTTAAAGTAATATTAGTATCTTTGGTATGAGTCTTTAACCTATCATATTGTAAGTTTATTTGTTCAGAAGAATCATTAAAGTTTGTTTTAGAAAAATCATCAGAAATATAATTGGAACTATTTTCTGTCTGTTCAAGAAAGTTATTAGAATTTATTTCACTAGAGATAGTATTAACCAATGATTATCTTATTTTTTTAATTTTATCTTGATTAGGTATATCAGAAAAATCATTACTATTTATAATATTATCCTGATAACTTATACTATTTTGTGATTCTAGCTTTAAGTTCAACATTTTTAATAATAATATTTTTATTATTTTGTTTTAGTTTTATAAATTTGGATTTATGTTTTTTCAAAGTTTATTTAAATTTTACATTTTTAACTTTAAATTCTATATTTTCAAACTTGATATCAGTGTTTTTCTACCTAAGAATGTTATTCTCATCAATAAGCTTGGAAATCTGTTTTTCAAGTAAGTCAATTTTGAATTGCATGTTCACTATTTTTTAAATAAAATACAAATATATTCAAAAGTAAATTTATAATCACTTTATTAATACAATATAAAATACATGTGAAACAAAGAATTATCTATCCATTATTATTTAATAATTTTTTTAATTCTAAATCTTTTACCGGTAAGAGAATTGTCAATCATTATCTAATCTTTTAATAATTCAACAATAACATCTAATACTTATTTTATATCTTTTCAAATGAGTCAAGATTTTTCTCAAGTACTATTTTAGAGAAATTTATTTGATATTTATTTTACTGATATAACAGGGAGAAATGGGACGCGACTGTAGTCACATGATCAATAGTCGTGACAATGATAAGTCGGTTGTGATAATTAGGTAATAAAGGAAGGATGGAAAGGATTGTGAAAAGAATTATGTAATTTAGCTTTAGCCATGTCGCTGTATTATTACTTATTATTATGTCTAAGCTGCCATAGCCAAATGTAAAGTATAAATAACATGTAAAGTATAGAGGAGTAGAAGAGGAACATGATAGATAGAAGTGAGAAAATTAATAAAGATTCGGTCAAATACAAACACGCCTAAAATTACCCCTTCATTTATTACCTAGTAATGATTACGTGAATCTCTGCTAGAGTTAGCGGCTGACTTGCCGTTACATTATTACACTAATATAATAAAAACCATTAGTAGCAAAAATAATAAAATGTTATTCTGTGGTTGAAAATAAATAACATTTTTCTATTAATAGAGCCAACAAAATAAAAAATTCTAAAATATTTTAAATATAATATATCAATAGAAACTACACTGTAAAGATAGTTATATTATCATTTCAGAAAGCTTTATCTTCTATACACTTTTGTTTATTGGTATAATATACAATATCTAATTGTATAATATTTTGAAAGTAATCAATTTTGATGTAACAAGGCTTTTTCTTAACTATACACATAAGATTCTTATTTTATTTATTACAAAATCGATATTACCAGATGTCTCCTTACCAGAAACTGCCTTTTAATATCATATGTAGATTTTTTCTTCTTTGATAAGTTGTCAAACAATAGCTGGAAATAAATTTAATATTGGTATAATAAATATACAATGTATGGCTTTGTTAGCATTAGACTATATAATTTCCAGATTTGAAAGTTTCAGTATTATTTCATTAATATATTAATAATTTTTTCAAAAATTATAAAACAAAAAACAAAAAAATAAACAAAAAAAATCCTTTCCCAATAAGCAGTGGCGCAGTAAGAAATTACCAAAAAAGGCAAGCAGTGGAGATGAACAGAAGACAAATGACAGCAACAACTTTAGGCAGGAGAAGAGGCAGAGAACGAAAGGTTATAAGCTCTACAAAAGAAGCAAGAGTCCTGGCAACAAGTATCAGTAAAAAAATCATCACAAGACAACAGAGTAGAAGTAGTGAAAGAGTAACTTTTGAGGCAAGCAAAAAAAGCACAAGTACAGGTGATATGAAAGGAAAACACAAGATAAGAAAATGGAAGAAGAGGAAGAAAATCAGGATCCACCCATGGAGCAGCAACAAGGCAAGCAAAAGGCAAGTAGTAGACAAGATATAGAAATGGAGCAAGAGGGAAACAGCAAGGCACAGGATATTAGAAATGAATCAGCAGATAAATGCAAGGCAGTAAAGAAGGGCCTGAATGAATTAGAACAAGGGATTAATTACCAAGAAGAAGTTACTATGAAACCAAGACACATGAGGAAAATA